TAGAAACCTATTCCTGTTTTTCTCATCAGAACTGTCTCCTTATATGTCTTCATAATTTCAATGTTTCCATCCTCCTTGGGCTAATTTTCTCTTTAAAAGTTTAGTTTGTGGAATCCAACTAAGCCTTTGGCTGAATACTTTGAAAAACTCTCTCCTCAAATTTAAGATGCATGCCAGAGTATTTCTCAAATTTCTTTTTCCATAAAAAAGGAATGATTTCTAGAATATATGCCCCAAGATATGATGCTGTGTAGGCAAGCAGGTCAAGAAGGGGAAGAGTGGGCATCGAATAACCACTGCAGGGACTACAGGGCTTTGGAGAATATCACAAGGTATGATTAGACTTGTTTGCCAATATCCATTGGCAGGCTAATGCTGGCAGGGGAAAAAGGTCTAACCTAAGGGATGTTGCAGGCTAAGAAGTTTCACTAGGAAGGGCTGGCTTCCTGGTCTGGGAGGAAAGCATGGAGTGAGATATGGAAGAGTCAAAGATCACTCTTTCCACATCTTTGTGAATGGGATACAAGATAGATGTTGGTACCATTTCCAGCAATGTGGATAAGCTTTCTACAATTTCAATATTTAGCAATTAATTATGTTGGTAGGAAGCCTTTTTTAATTATTAGGGAATAAACAGAGATAAACTATTAAACTGCAGAGTCATGATAACACAAAGGAATAAATAATTCCTCTTACATTTTCTTCCTGCATATCCAATATACAATCATCACAAAACTCTCACAAATAACAATATTGTTTCTTTACAGATGTGCAATCAGTCTTCTCATGGGTCTAGGAACAAAACGTGTTTTCAGTTGTGGAGCAATGAATGAAAGATATGTAACGATCATTCATCCAGGGAGAGAAAAAGTTTTATCATTTTGTGATGTGAAAATCTTTGTTAAAACCTGGAATTCAGAAAATAAGACTTCCAGTGATACCTCTTATATTTTATCAGCTTCTGTTGATGACCAAGAGATAACCAAGAGTCATAGATCTCCCGAAAGATCATGTGCTTATGATGTCAATGAGAACAATTTTGGTGAGTATATTTTCTTCACCACAATGCATTGGCAACATTTTTGTGACATTCTTTCTTCAATTAAGATTTAGTTGATATAATATAATTCTTTAAAGGTTTTGTGAAAAGTACACTCTTATAATGCTATTCCCTCAAACTTTCTTCCTTTTAAAAAATATTTCCAATATTCACTCAGCTTCCTCTCTATTTCTATTTCCTTGTTTACTCCTTCTTCCTGTAATTCTTTTCCTACTTCTCTCAGCATTCATATCTAGCTCACAAAATAAGAATGTATCCTTTATTACAAGTTACCTTTCAGAAAGAGCTCTGTGCATTGTGATAAAGATGGTAAAGATTAATACTCTAAGAACCACTATGAGAACAACAAAGTTTTTAATGAACCCTTCAGTTCTCACGTGGATCTGTTTATATTTTAGTAACTAGATGTTCTAAATATTCTTAAGTATATTCTTAATATTTTTTAGTTCATAGAAATTTCAGCTGGGATGTTTTGTGTAGAATTGGCTGGAATTAATTGACTCATTTATTCCTTAAAGTTTCTAGAGAGAACCCAGGTCATTTTTAGCCAAGAGAGAGAGAGAGTTAAAGAACGAGTTAAAATGCCCATTTACAGAATGTACCAATTGCTTTAAAGAATGAACCACACAAAAATTTGTGGTGCCATGTTATTTAGACTGTAGTTCCCAGGAGTAATAAATAAATGTTATGATAACCTGAGGTTAAAACATGAAGATAAGATTCCCAAACCCTGTAGTATTTTTTTTTATTTTAGGCAATTGGGGTCAAGTGACTTGCCCAGGGTCACACAACTAGTAAGTGTCAAGTATTTGGTCTGAGGACAGATTTGAACTCAGGTCCTCCTGACTTCAGGGCCGGTGCTCTATCCACTGTGCCACCTAGTTGCCCCTCAAACCCTGTAGTATTTGACAGTTCATGTTAAACATGATTTCTGGCTATCGAAATGTATACTGTTAGAAGTATCAAGATTATAGTAGTATAAAATTGCCAAGTAAAGCCAAGTAAAATAATGTGAATGCTATGCAAACCATTGTGTAGGCTTGATTTTCCTTTCCACATTGCTGCTTGGAAGAGAAAGGTATATTAGTATAGAATATTTATTGAATTGTATTGTGAACTCTTAAAAGCAAGAATGACATTATTAGCAATGTCAGTGAATAATTTGATATTTGTGGTAAATCGTTTCTTTGGTAATGAGTACTGCCTTTGTTCCTGGGAGTAAGGGACAACCATTCTAGTAATGGAGTTTGCACTTTGCGCCTGATGGCTGATTGACCTCTACCCTCACATATCTCATCATTTCAGACCCAGTGCTATCAAGGGGAAAACCTGCCTTCCAGTCCAGCATCTTCACTCCCTCTGGGTCTCCTGAAAGAGCTGTGGATGGGTCTTTACTCAGCGATTTTGAAAAAGGCTCTTGTATTCAAACCCACCGAGAGAATAATCCCTGGTGGATGGTAGATTTGGGGTCTACACAAACTGTGGAATCTGTGGCAATCACTACCCGAAAAGACTGTTGTACTGAAGAATTACGCGGAGCATTGATCCTGGTGGGGGACTCCCTTGACAACGGTGGCGCATTCAATTCCAGGTTTGAATCAAAACTTCATTTCTTGAGAATAAAACAAGATAATATTTGTAAAGTGATTTGCAAACTTTAAAGCAATATATACATATTAGCTTTTACATCATATGATTAAAAGGTGATATGGTAGCAAAATATGTATTTCAGCTCCCTTTAGACATGATGTTCTTACTTAATTGAACTTTACCTGCTACCTTGCGGCTACTCTGTCCTGCTGTTAAATGTTGTTACTTTATTTTTCAACTTTCCTGAAGCTGAAGCTTCCTCCGTTTGTAGGGGAGAAGCCAGAGAGAAAGAGACGGTGCCACATACATTCTACTAGGGCTATACACCATATAAACTGATAAGAAACAGTTTGAGGAGGTAGAGAGCACTCGGGAAGTCAGGGAAGGTTTCCCATAGAAGGTGTCACCCGAGTTGAGCCTTAAAAGAAGCTAAGGATTCTTAGAGGTGGAGGTGAGCAGGGACAGCATTCCTGGCACACAGGACAGCCTGTGCAAAGTCTCAGAGAGAGGAAATGGAATGCCAACTTTATGGAACAATCAGGAGACCTGCTGAGTTGGAATGCCAAGTGCATCATAGGGAGTAGTAATGTGAAATAAGTCTGGTGATGCAGGCTGAATTCAGCCTGGGAAAGGCTTTAAATGCTGAGCTGAGGAGTTTCTATTTCATGCTAAAAGGCAATAGCCATCTAGTAAAGGTTCTTGAATGGAGAAGTGACGTGGTCAGAGCTCTGCATTAGGAAAATTATTTTGCCAGCTGACTGAAAATGGGGAAACCAAGTAGGGTTTGTGGGGTAATGGAGAGAGAGTTGGACTCAGAGCCAGGAAGACCGATACTCAAGTCCTACCTCTGACACAGACTGAATGAGAGACCTTGGGCGAGTCACTTAGGCTGTCTCTGCTCTCGGCAACTTTCTAAGACTTTAAGTGTAGAGAAGGTGCTGATCAGCATTAAGAAAGGGAATCTCTTCACTTGGGAGTTTCCTCTATTTATGAAACTCCTTATCTCTGTCCCTATCCCTATGCTAAATAGGCCCCAGGAATCTATACGCAGCCAAATTCTTCCTCCAAATTGAGCACAAAAAAACAGACAGTCTGGCTGGAGACCCAGAGGGATGAATGAAATACATTCTTACCAAACCTTCACCCAATATTTTCCATTCAATTCATAAATCTGCTAGTATCAAGGAGTTATTCTAGAATTTCACTTGATTGGATAACCATATGGATATTGAAGTGTGAGGTGATTCAGCCTCTTTTTATCAAATATTTACCCACATAGTGATATTTGGGAGGGGAAAACCCTTCCCTATAGGACCAGAGAATCACTCTCCACCCCCTCAATTCAGTTACAAATGCCATCAGGTCCTTATTACATTTCAGGAGTCCCTCAGTGAGGCTATATAAACATTCAGACACACCCAACACCCACTTTCCTATAATGCCCCAGGAAGTGACTCTTTTCTATCATTATTGGAATGCCTCCTCTCAAGTGACCAATCATGAAAACAGTTTTCATTTGGTTTTTGGAAAATATATGCTATTGTAGAGTGTATGCAATCCCCTAGACAGGTTGTTGGGGGTTTTTTTTCCTTATTCTTGCTCCACAAAATAGGGTAGCCAAGAAGTACTTGACCAAGTAATACCTTATATATTCTGGCCTGGTATGGGAAATTATAGTGGACCTCTCTTGGTGAGCCACCAGCTGTGTTTGAGAAAGGATGATTCTAGTAGCTTTGCCCTGGGTGAATTGAAAGGGGCAGAGCTTAGAAATAAAGAGATCAGCTAGAAAACCATTTATGATCATCCACCCAGGAGGTAATATGGGCATTTGACACATAAGAACCAAAATCTTCAATTCAATTATATTGCATTCAACAAGCCATTTTTAGTGTCTTCTATGAAACAGCACCATTCTCATTGGTAGCGATATTGTGTTAGGTGTGGGCAAGAAGATAAAAGATAAACACAGACTTGTCACAGACAAGGAAAAATGAATAAGACTTGGTAACTAGCAGCAGAGGTAGTATGAGTATGAACTTTGAGAAAAGAGGAGGAAGAAGAAAATACCACACTGATCATGTGTTTCAGTAGGAGGCAATGGATGCTGATGTCATTTGTGGCCATGAGGACAAATTTCTGTATTGTCTTTTTTGATGGGATTAATCATCTTTGATTTAGCTCTGTGTAGCTGTTTTTAATCAGTACATGAGCATCCTTACAAATAAAAACATGGCTTGCCTTCAGATGTGCAATCATTGGTTACTTGGGCCATGGAAAAACAGAGTTTTTCAAATGTGGGACATTGCATGGAAGATATGTGAGTGTTTTCAACCCAGGAAGAAAAACAATGATATCTCTATGTGAAGTCCAAGTTTTGGGGAAAGCAGCAGATTCTCTCCCTCCTGATTTGTCAGCGAGTCCTGAATCTTGGTCTTTGTCACCCATGACTAGTGATGATACAGGCTTAACTGGTGAGTATTCTTTCCTCATAACAGGAATTTCAATGACATAATCTGTAATTCCTTCTGTAAAACATTCACAGTTAAGATTTTGTGGTTCATATAAAGCCAGATTTCTTAATTTAGGGTGCAGGAACTTGTTTTTTAAAAATTTTGAAAATTGTATATGAATATATTTGCCTAGCTTTGAAATCCTATGTATTATAATTTTATGTATTTAAAAATATTGCTCTGAGAAAAGGTTCATAGATTGCCCAGACTCCTCCCACTCCCTGTGAAGATGGGAAGCCTGCCACCAGAATGCTGGACTCCTTTGCCATCGCTGTCATCCATTACAGCTTTGCCCTTTGTTACCATTCAACCCCCCTTTCACTGGCAGGTTTCTTAACTATGATCTGTTGAGCCCTGCCCAGCTCCTAATCCCCATTGCTAAAAAATGTTACTAATCTTTAAGAGAGACTCCTTGACCTTCATACCTTAAGCTAATCCATATGTCTTCAGTTTGACCACTGAAAGTCCTATAGTCTCTGTATAATTGGTGTACAAAAGGGTTTTTGAGGTAGCTGTGAAACTTCTACGATGCACCTTCCCAAAGTAAGGTCCCAGCTAGCTCCTATAGAGTGACTGAATTTCTTTCATCTTCCACGGATCAGGATGGATGTGGGTCTTCCCTCTTCACAGAGTCAACACCTCACTTTGAGTCTTTCTGAGTCTAGAGATAAACACAAGGGTTCCTTTTAATTCAGCCATGCCCTTTGTACTCCTCAGTAATTAGCCCTCAACCATGAAAATGGCTTTAAAGTACTTTAAGATTCCAGAAGACATGAAAAGCAATGATGACTATTTTGGTTACTATCACAGATTCCTCATATGCTCTTTGGTAGATTACTCAGGAAAGTACTTTGGGATCTAATTTAAATCACATCAGGCAGAGAGAATGCCAGTTCGAACACTCCTAAACCCAGGTGTGTGAGGCTGAAGTATCTCCTTTGCCATCTAAAGTAGTCAGTTTTGGAATAAGTGAAAGTCCAAATTATGCATCACGTAAGGATCACATGGAACTAATGATGCCTATTGGAGTTACTGGTTCCCCCAAAAGGGAGCATGCACTGAAAATATAAGCAGGGTCAAGAAGAGTTTAAATATATACCTCAGTGACACATGCAAAATAGATTATGAAGTTAAGCTCAGAAATTCTGAGGAAAAAATCCAGTCTCTGAGGATGATCAAAGTCAACCATGTGCTTCCACAACATTCCACTGGTTGCTCCTGTCAGGCACAGAGCCCTGGGAAAGATGTGGTGGACAGTCAGAAGAAGTCTGAGAAAATATCCAAGACAGGTCTGAGGCCTTACTTCTGTATCTAACTCACCGACCTTCTTTTACATAAACTCCAATCTCTCAAACACTTAACTGGAACTTGATACTTAAACTCAGGCTCATTATTTTTCATCTATCAGAGTTAAATTTCTTCTCTTTAAGAATATTAACAATGATATGATTGTCATGTGGGACTTGAATGAACATTTTGGTAAAGAGTACTGAGATTTGAGTAGAGATAAAAAGTCAGGAGGTAAGAAACAAGTTATGCTTAACCCGATCCCAAAGCCCATTGATATGAGGCTCTTCCTTCTTGTGGAGACAAAGAAGGGCCCAGGCAGAGTCAACAAAAGCAAGAGAGAAGAAAGTTCTGGTCTCTTTGGGCTCTTTGTTCTGGCTTTCAGCTTCAAGAAAGAAGATGGACAAGGCCAACTTCAGGTTCTGAATGGATAAAAAAACTCAGGGAAGAAGTCAAAATGAGAGGAGCAGGCCCTATCCCCAGCTTCCTACATTAGAAATTTTGGAGAATTTCCCCCTTTGGGTAAAATCAGGACACTCTCAGTGGGAGAACTCCTATACTTTGTATTGTCTGGAATATATTCTCATATTTCTCTGATTTCTGTTTTGCTATCAGCTCAGATAAATGGGTTTCTTTGCTATACACTATATGTATTTATTGTGGAACCAATATTTGGTGGGAAGTGAAGCGTTGAATATAAAGCCTGGGATCTTCCTTTCCCCTTTAAGAAATAACACTCATGGGGCAGCTAGGTGGCGCAGTGGATAGAGCTCTGGCCTTGGAGTCAGAAGGACCTGAGTTCAAATCCAGCCTCAAACATTATTAGCTTTGTGACCCTGGGCAAGTCACTTAACCCCAATTGCCTCACCAAAAAAAAGAAAAAGAAAAGAAAAAAGAAATAACACTCTTTGTGAGCTAAATTTGTTTTAGCTTGAACCTGAAAACTACAATCTCTATGCTAAGAATGTTTAAGGGAACACCACCAGATAGATATAATTTTAACCCAGTATGCCTCTCTCTGAGGACAGTAGAGCAGCTGCAACCTCTGGCCCCAAAATCCTGTTTCCCCTCCTAGGAGAGCTTGGAGAGGAAGGAGGGGAGAGGACTTGAGAGCTATCTCTCTTCTGGCCTCCTTTTGAGCCACATCAAGACACCCCATGCTACACGTTGGGAACACCATTTACAATGTCTGCCTGCTGCCCTGAGAGTCAACTTCTTGAAAACTGAGAATACCTGATGGAATCAAGTCTCACCTCTGACACATACTGGCCGTGTGACCCTGGGCAAATCACTTACCTCTCAGTGACCCCAGAAAATTCTCTAAAACTCAAGTTGCAGGGAAGTGTCAACCTGCATTAGCAGAGGGAGGTTCATTGCCTGGAAGTTACATTATCAATGAAATCAAAAATCCAATCATGATCCCTATGCCTTCATTGACTAAATATCTAAATGCAGATACATAAAGGAAGATCATTTGCATTTTTAGGAAGTGTAGATGTGAAATGTGAGCTAGATGATAGCACGATAAATTATAATTGTAGATAATTTAATAGTTGTGTGAAAGGAGTAATGGTTAATTACCCTTAATTAATTAGACAGGTGTTGCAATGGATAGAGAACTAAGAAAGGAGTCAGGAAGACCTGAGTTCAAATTTGTCCTCAGATGCTTACTAGCTGTGTGACCTTGGGCAACTCACTTAACCTCTGCTTACCTCAGCTTTCTCATTTGTAAAATGAGGTAGTACCTACCTCCCAGGGTTGTTGTGAGGATCTGTTGAGATAATAATTGTAAAGTGCTTAGCAGAGTATCTGGAATATAGTAGGTGCTATATAATGTTAGCTATTATTATTATTAATGGATAAATGTTCATCTGAAGGTAAGTGTCCAGATGAGGCCTCCACCCTCATTCCTATTTAGTTCATTATTTTTTACCAGTGACTTGAAAGAAAACATAGAAGGCAGATTTGCAGATAATACAAGTTGAGACGGTCAATGTGGTAGATGACTAAATCAAGGGTAAAAATCTCCTCCTCAGACTGGAACATTGGAAACTAGCAGTTGACCTCCAGATCTCCAAAAGCTGAAGAGTTTGCAGAACTTAGGCCCCTGGGCCAAGTGTCGAGCAGGGATGTTTCTTTGATAAATCTTCTGGAAATAAGTCAATAGCAGTGGCATGGTATTTTTTAATTGTGAATACTATGACAATATAAACCTAAGACGGACATATATTGACTCTGATTGTAAATGAATGGTTTAAATTACAAATATTCCTTTTGTCTGTGGAGTCATTCTAGTCATTAAGTCATAGGATCTGTGGTGTAGAGCTTAAAAAAGCCTTAGAGAACATATGGTCAGTACAACTTCCTTATTTTGAGGATAAAGAAAGTGAATCTGAGAGAGGTGAAGGGCCTTACCCAAGATCACACACATAATGTTAGGAATGGGATTTGACAGCAGTTCTTCTGAATTGAGAGCCAGCCATCTTTTCACTATACTGTGCTAGCCCCCAGAGTTTCCTCCCAGACTTTATTTCTTACCTGATATCTAACATCTGCTCCATATTTGTCATCATTATAGGATTAAAACAGCCAAAAGAAACACAAACATCTCAGTCCAGCATCTTCATTCCTTCTCAATTTCCTGATAACCCTATGGATGGGTCTTCTCAAAGTGGCCATTGTATTCAAACATTGCAAGAGAATGACACCTGGTGGATGGCAGATTTGGGTTCAACACAAACTATAGACTCTGTGTCAATCACCAATAGAAAAGATTGTTGTAAGGAACAGATAAATGGAGCCATGATTTTGGTGGGAGACTCACCTGATCAGGGTGGAAAATTCAATGCAAGGTATGGAATTAAGATTTATCTTTTGAAAGCTGGTGGGATGGTAATGCATTTCTTTATAACTTTTCAAATCTATTATTTTGACTAGTATTTTATTTTTCCCCAATTACATGTCAAGACAACTCTCAGCATTCATTTTTACAAGATTTTGAATTCCAAATTTTTCTCCTTCCTTCCTTCTCCTCTCTTCTTCTTAAAATGGTAGGCAATTTGATATGGGTTATGCATGTACTATCATGAAGAACATATTTCCATATTAGTCACAGTTGTGAGAGAAGAAACAGATCAAAAGGGAAAACCATGAAAAAGAATAAAATAAATGAAAAAAGTATGCTTCTATCTGCATTCAGAGTCCATCAGTTCTTTATCAGGATGTGGATAGCTTTTTCCCTTGTGAGTCCTTTGTACTTGTCTTGGATTATTGTGTTGCTAAGAAAAGCTGCATCATTCATAGTTGATCATCCTACAATGTTGCTGATATTGTGTACAATGTTTTCCTGGTTCTGCTTATTTCACTTTGCATCAGTTCATACAAGCCTTTCCAGGTTTTTTTCGAAATCTGCCTGTTTATCATTTCTGCACAATAGTGCAGAATATACCACAGCTTGTTCAGCCATTCTCCAATTGATGGGCAACCCCTCAGTTTCCAATATTTCCCACCACAAAAAGGGCTGCTATAAATATATTTGCACATGTGCATCCTTTTCCCTTTTTTGACAATCTCTTTAGGACACAGACCTAGTAGTGGTATTGCTTGATCAAAAGGTATGCAGTTTGATCACCTTTTTGGCATAGTTCCAAATTGCTCTCCCGATCAGTTCACAACTCCACCAATAGTGCATTAGTGTCCCAATTTTCCCACATCCCTTCCAACATCTATCACATTCATTTTTCGTCATATTAACCAATCTGATAGGTATGAGAAGGTGCTTCAGAGTTGTTTTAATTTGTATTTCTCTAATCAAAAATGATTCAGAGCATTCTTCATATGCCTACAGATAGCTTTGATTTCTTCATCTGAAAACTGCCTGTTCATATCTTTGACCATTTATCAATTGGAGAATGACTTGTATTCTTATGAATTAAGTTCTCTATATATTTGAGAAATGAGGTCTTTATCAAAGACACTTGGGATAAAGATCGTTTCCCAGCTTTCTGCTTTCCTTCTAATCGTGGTCAAAGCTATTATTTTTGAGAATAAATTTGCACATTTGTGTGAATGGAATATGAAAAGATTATGGCACCATTTCCAGTAATGTCGATATATTTTCCATAATGTGAATCTTTAGCAATTGATCGTATTGGCAGGAAGGCTTCTTTAATTATTGGGGAGTAAGAGAGCCAAACTATTGCGCTGCTGAGTCATTGCAGCATGAGGGATAAATTATTCATCTTCAGCTATCCTCCTGAGCAGCCTGTATCCAATCACCACAAAACTCTCACAAATGTCAATATTGTTTCTCTCCAGATGTGCAGTTGTCCCTTCCCTGGGCCAGGGGATGACACACATTTTCAGCTGTGGAAAAATGAAAGGAAGATATGTGACAATCACCCATCTAGGGAAACAAAAGGTTTTATCATTTTGTGATGTGAAAATCTTTGGGAAAACTTGGGATTTGTTTTCCTTTGCTGATGAGGACCAACAGAAAACCAGAAGTGCTGGATCTTCAGTTACATCATATAATTTTGATAACACAGATAACAACTTTGGTGAGTATATTTTCTTCGCCACAGTGAATCAGTGACAATTTTGTAATATTCTTCTACTCGAGGTAATATTCCTTAGAAGGTTTTTTTCTTTAAATATGTTGTCTTCTAATGCTATTTCCTCAAACTTTCTTCTTTTAAAAATTATTTCCAGCCCTCACTCACCTTGCTCTGCACTTTTCATTTCTTTACTTATTTTTATATTCTCTTCTCCTACATTTTTCAATATTCATATCCAGCACATATGCTGTATAAGAGCCCTATTTTTCAAGTTATCTCTCAAAAAGAGCTCTGTGAATTGTGATGAATATTGTGAGGAGGGCCTGTACCCTAAGAACTACCACCAGAAGCATATAGCATTTAGTGGACCTTTTTACATTTTTTATTTTATTTTAGTGGGCCCTTTTTTTTAGTAATTAGATATTTTAAACATCTCTAAATATGATCTTAATATTTTTAGTCCTTTCTGGAAATTTTACCTGGGATGCAATACGTAAGATTGGTTGGAATTGACTTGTTCATCCTATAAGTTTTCTAGAAAAGGACCCATGTTCTATTTAGTGAAAGAATGAGTTTCAAATATAGAATGTGTCAATTGATTAGAAGTAACTACTCAGTTCAGTCCATTCTGTCCAAATTTTTTTCTCATTTTTCTATATTATATAATGTATAGATTGCAGTTACCAGGAATATTAAATCAATGCTTATGATAGCCAGCAGACATACCTTGGAGATAAGGCCCCCAATCTCCCACACCATTTTGCAGTTCACCTTAATATCATCTCTCACCTTTTTTTTTTTGAGGCAGTTGGGGTTAAGTGACTTGACTTGCCCAGAGTCACACAGCTAGTGAGTGTTGTATGTCTGAGGCCGGATTTGAACTCAGGTCCTCCTGAATCCAGGGCCAGTGCTCTATCCACTGCACCACCTAGCTGCCCCCCATCTCTCACCTCTTATGTAAACACTGTTAGCCTGTTACTATTCTTTCAGAAATTGTGTATATCAGAATGAAAGGAACAGAAAATGGCATTTGGCCTATAAGCCAGATATCTATAAGCTAAGCAAAATGAAAACTGAGACTACTATGTAAACCATCATATGGGCTTAATTTTCTTCTTTCCACATACTTACTTAGAAGAAGAGCAGCTAGGTGGCATAGGGAATAGAGTACTGGGCCTAGAGTCAGAAAAAATCTGAGTTCAAATCTGGTCTCAGATACCTACCAGCTGTGCAACCCCAGACAAGTCATTTAACCCTGTTTGCCTCAGTTTCCTCATCTGTCAAATGAGCTGGAGAAGGAAATGGCAAACCACTCTAGTAATCCTTGCCAAGAAAACCCCAAAGGGGTCATGAGGAGTCAAAAATGACTGAACAAGATAATACTTAGAAGAGGAAGGTATATTAGTAGAGCATATTTATTGAATTCTATTATAAACTCATAAAAATGAGAATGACACATATTAGCAACATCAGTGGATGATGATTAGGTGTTCTATGTCACCTCTTTAAGGCAGCATTACTTCTTTTGTCCCTGGGTGGATGGGGAAAACTTCATTCTAGTGATGGAGTCTGCACTTTGATATGATGGCCAATCAACTTCTACCCTCACATAGCTCATCATTTCAGCTCCACTGCTATCAAAGGGGAAACCTGCCTTCCAGTCCAGCATCTCCACTCCCTCTGGGTCTCCTGAAAGAGCTGTTAATGGATCTTTACTGGATGATTTTGAAAAAGGCACTTGTATTCAAACACACCGAGAGAATAACCCCTGGTGGATAGTAGATTTGGGTTCAACACACACAGTGAAATCTGTGTCAATCACCCCCCGAAAAGATTGTTGTACTGAAGAATTAGGTGGAGCACTGATCCTAGTGGGGGGACTTGCCTATTCATGGTGGCACATTGAATGCCAGGTATGAATCTAAGTTTTATCTCTTGAAAATAATATGAAATAATATTTTGAAGTGTTTTTGTAAACTTTAAAGCAATATATAAATGTTATATCTTAGATAATACAATTAAAAGCTGATAGTATAGAAAAATGTGTGTTTTTAGTCTCGTTAGACACGAAGTTCTGACCAAGTGTAATAATTGGGAAAAATGAGGACATTTTTATAATACAATCTTCATCATCGTATGTCCTCACACAATCTTTTCTCACTTAATAATCCTTCAATATATATTTGAGAATTTGTCCTTCACTCAGTTCCCTATGTTCCATGAAATCAAGCAGTGAAATTGATGTCATGGATGTAAACTCCTTGATTATTCCAAGCATACTATGCAAGGCTATTTTTGCAGTCAAGTGGTCAAGGTATTTTTAAAATGAGAGGGTGTATTCAACAAAAATGGAGAGAACTCTAGGTTTGGCTAGTAGTCCAGTTTTAGAACTAAAGGGGAGCTAGCCCCTAAAGGAATGCTATGTCATATTTGACCCAAATGAAGAAAAAATTTTCCTCCTCCTACTCTCTTATCTGACCTGAAAAAACCATTCTGCCACTTTCCTCAATGATTTCCCATATTTTCATGAAGTATTCACATTATATTCTAGATAGACTGCATGATAGTGTGATATAAAGTCCATCCTGGAGAAGAGAGTTGGGATTATAAAGATGTGGTCAAAAGCATACATAGAAGGATCTTCCTAGATAAAGAGAAGGGACAGCTCTTCATGTGAGACAAGGGCGAAGGAGCAAATAGTGCAACAAAATGTGTGAATGATGTGAGATTAAGATTAAGGGAAAAGAAGGTCTCCTGCTATATGGTCCCAGTTTTTCAGTAAAAAAAAATAAGGTAAGGTCCTCGGCTGAGAGTGTGAGGAGTGCTACACAGGGCTTGAGGAAAGATGACGGAAAATAGCCTCTGTGATCATTAGGATAGTATTTTTATTAGGAAAGTATAAAAGGATTTTCTGGCTGTTATGATGGCTCATTGGATATTTTATAACCTAAATTTATAGTGAACCCAGTCAGCATGGCTTCATGATTTCTCCCACTTTGTTTAACAGCATATAAATAGGAGCAAAGGAGGTAGATGATGGGAGGAATCCAGGGTTGCAATTTGGTAAGTTGTGATAGGTCATGGGGCAAGAGATTTGAATATGGAGGATAATGCAATTCACCAAAGGGTTGAGAAATGGAAGGGAGAACAATATAGCTAGTATTGGTGTGAAGGGGTGATGTCTGTGCATGAACTAAGTGTCCATAGGATTGGAGGTCATAGGGATGAGTAAGAATGTGATTAGAAGTCATGAGCCATAGGGTAAGTTTAAATGATAAAAGGAGCATAATCTAATATGATGGTATTTTAAATTCATGAATTTAGTACTGGCATACTTGTAGGTGAATGTATGAATATGATCCTATCTCTCTGTAGCTAAGGTTGAGTAGATAGGCAGGTCAAGAGAACTGGGCAAATTAAGAAATTTGGAGGTTAGTATATTTGAGAATGTTAAAGTTACCTAGTATGAGGGCTTGAGTTTTGATGGAATAAAAGACTGTGACCCAAGCCCTGATCTCACTGAGGAAGTAAGAGAATGCATTGAAAGATAATGGCCACTGGTATCTGGATTGATAAGTTTGAATAGCACATACCTCAACTGAGAAGTACTTCAAATAAGAGGCTGATGAGTAATGGTGGTAGAGAAAGAATCTAGAAGTAGAAATGAGGAGCAAGGAGCATCCTAATTTCCTTGCTACAACCAATTAGTTGTAAAGTATGAGTGAAAGTGTAACTGGTACTGGGAAGGGTGGCCAGAGAAGCAATGTCAGAAGGATGGAGTTAGGTTTTCACTGGGCAACATAAAAAGGAGTCAGAAATGAAAAGGTTTAAGAGGAAAGCAAGTTTGTTCATTGTGGGGCTGGCATTTGAGAGAGCACAATGTAAGGAAGAGACAGATTTGGAGTTAGAAATTGGGGGAAAAGTATTGAGGGGGGAATGGGAATAAGAAAGCAAGGCACCTGGGAATGGAAAAAAGAGTTTGTACATTGACAGTCAGAGGTTCAGAATCACTGGGACTATGGTGGGGAGAGGGGTGAATGTTGCTAGCTATTGAGCGAGTCTAGACCTAGAGGATTAGTGGATGGAAAGGAATCCTTTGAAAGAGATGGATGATCAGACTATTCAAGGTCCTCCCTCAAGAATCAAACTCATGGAAAGTAGTGGCATGAAGGTCTACTTTAAATAGGTGAAGGTATGTCCTAGGAGGGTCAGCCAGGAGATTGGAGGCGGCAGCAGCAAGTGGGTCTGGTATGGAGATGGCTTCTGAACCACTGAAGAAGGCCAAGGGGAGAAGAATTGATACCAGGCTGACTCTGGGAAGGCCATGATGGGAGTATTATTTCCACTTCGACTCAATTTAAAAGTATTTAATACATGCATAACATGAGCATGGTCTTGAGATGGATGCAGGAGACACAAAGGCAAAAAAAAAAAGCCCCTGACCTCAAGGAAATTCTATTTTAAACCACCAGGTGGTGCTGCTAACATGTTTTTTTTTTGTCCTTCTTGTGGATTAATGACATCAGGCAGGTGATGTTTTGACTTGCAAGTGAATGGGATTTAAATGAAGCAGAGCTGTGCAGTCATCAGCCTCACTCTCTCCAGAGTCATCAGAGTCCAGTGGCAAGACATAGATCAGGATGCCTGGAGAGAGCCCTGGATTCAGTGGGAGACCATACCTTTTTAAGCTAAGAGCTTTCCCAGGTCTCAGTTTATCTGAGGCAAAGCCCATTCAATAATTAAAAGCTAGGTAAGAATTGAGGCAAACTCCATCCCAGACTGATTCTTTTCTGAGAGCAAACTGGGCTATCTTTTGCTGCTAACATTGCTCTGATGAAGAAGGCTCTCAGGTGAGCAAGTTGTAGGCTCACCTTGGCGTTAGTGCATTTCACCCATCAGCTGGAAGTGTCTGTACAGTGTCTCTCTCCCTGTGGATCCCAGAAAGTGAAGTAGCTCAACCTCTCCATGGGTATCCATACCATTTCAATATCTGCAAACAATGAATCAGTGTGCATCTTCCCAATTCAAACCAGTTCTTGAGCTACAATGTGAGGCAAACTCCACTTCTTCCTGGATATGCTATACTTTACTGAGTCCTAGTGTGCACCCGTTATGCAATGGGGTCATTTCCCACAGGATAAACAAAGCATGATTAACTTTATAAATTGATTTACTCTCAGCATTGACTCAGTAGAAACAATAAAACACTACTAACAACCATCTACTATTGTGTTTCTGCAGCTTCTGAGCAATACATGAGCTATTGTGAACCCAGAAGTCCTAGAGATGACACATTTACCAACTGATATTCAACTCAGACATGCGGTCAGTAGGTGAAGACTCAGTGATTTTGGATCTGGGACCTTTCACAGCATAGAATATAGATAAACTCGGGACCCAATGAACTTAGGAGAAGAAAGAGGCTCCCTTTAAGAGTAAATTTTTCCCATTTGGTGTCTAAACATTAGTTGGGACTTCCAACTTCTTCCCATAGCTAGTTCATTTTAGTGTAGGGTGATGACCTTCCTTCAGGCTGGCCCTGCAAAGGAGAAATCTGCTGTCCCATGTTGTCTCTGCATCAATCTGACCTTGACATTTTCTATCATAAAAGCTAGCATTCAATGTGGCGGCTAGGTGGTGCAGTGGATAGAGCACTGGCCCTGGAGTCAGGAGGACCTGAGTTCAAATCCGGCCTCATACACATAACACTTACTAGCTGTGTGATCCTAAGCAAGTCACTTAACCCCATTGCTTAGCCAAAAAAAAAAAAGGGCAAGTTGTCCCACTGCACCTGGGGCCATCTACAGTCATCCTGATCTATATTTTGCCACTGGGCAACTTCCCCACTCAGAAGCTGTAGCATATATCCTCCATACAGTAGGGGAAGAGCCAAAGAGGAAGGGATTGGGGGCTTACACATTATCCTGGGACTGTACAATGCATAAACTGATAACAAAGAACAAGACAGTGTGAGGAGGTAGAGAGCGCTAAAGACTAAGAAAGTCTGGGAACATTTCCGATAAAAGGTGTCACTGAGTTGAGCCCTAAGAGAAGCTAAGGATTCTTAATGGCTGAGGTAAGCAGGAATGGTATTCCCAGCACAAAGGACACCTTGTGCAAAGTCTCAGAGAGATGAGATGGAATGCCAATTTCAATTAGACCTACTGAGCTGGAATGCCAGGTGTATAATAGGGAGTGGTAAAATGAAATAAGCCTGGGGATGCAGACTGAATACAGCCTGGGACAGTCTTTAAATGCTGAGCTGAGGAGTTTATATTGCATCCTAAAAATAATAGCCATCCCCTGAAGATTCTTGAGCACTTATTATGTAAACTCATTTTTTAAAGCTGAAGATTTGGGGGTATGAATTATAGAGGTTGCAATAGCATACTATGGATTCATATTGAGCTTACAAGACACTAAAAACCCTACATCTTTTCTGCATAAACCAAGCTTGCTTCCTCCATTGTGTATTTGTACAGCTGATTATTTGGACCCAAAATGTAAGACTTTAAGCATATTAAATTTCATTTTCTTACATTTGGCTTACTCTTTGCATCTATGGAGATCACTTGAACACTATTATGTAATGTCCATATTTTGCCTACCTGATAACCATGTCTTCTTCATGATATTTGACAATTTGATAAACATTTTATCTATAATTGATAAAGATGTTATTTATGCAAAAAAATTAGTTTTATGTAATATAATTATCTTTTTCATGTTTGATTTAAATTATTAATCTCTTAATAATTCTTTCCTTAACTCTCAAAGTAAGAAGCAGTAAGACTAAAGGGGAAGAAAAGGGAAAGGGATAATAAAAGGGGAAGGGGACTGAAGGAGGCGGTGGTCAAAAGCAAAACACTAGTGAAGGGGGGAAAGGAAAAAAGAAAGAAAAGCATAAATGGGGGGGAAAGGATGGAGAAAAAGACACAGATAGTAATCATAACTGTGAATGTGAATGGGATGAACTCTCCCATAAAACGGAAACGGATTGCAGAATGAATTAAAAACCATAATCCTACAATATGTTGTTTACAGGAAACACATTTGAAAAAGAGTGACACATACAGGGTAAAGGTAAAAGGCTGGAGCAGAATATATTATGCGTCAGCTGAAGTGAAAAAAGCAGGGGTAGCAATCCTGATCTCAGACAAAGCAAAAGCAAAAATAGATCTAATCAAAAGAGATAAGGAAGGAAACTACATCCTGCTAAAAGGCACCATAGACAATGAAGTAATATCATTACTAAACATATATGCACCAAATGGTATAGCATCCAAATTCTTAAGGGAGAAGTTCAGGGAGTTACAGGAAGAAATAGACAGCAAAACTATACTAGTGGGGACCTGAACCTCCCCCTCTTGGCACTAGATAATCTAACCACAAAATAAACAAGAAAGAAGTTAAGGAGGTGAATAGAACATTAGAAAAGTTAGGTATGATAGACCTCTGGAGAAAACTGAATGGGGATAGAAAGGAATATACTTTTTTCTCGACAGTACATGGCACATACACAAAAACTGACCATGTACTAGGGCATAAAAACTTCACAATCCAATGCAGAAAGGCAGAAATATTAAATGCATCCTTTTCAGATCATGACACAATAAAAATTATATGTAATGAAGGGCCATGGAAAGATAGACTAAAAAATAATTGGAAACTAAATAATCTAATCCTAAAAAATGATTGGGTCAAACAACAAATCATAGAAACAATCAATAATTTCATTCAAGAGAATGACAATAATGAGACAACATACCAAAACCTGTGGGATACAGCGAAAGCCGTTCTTAGGGGAAGTTTTATATCTCTAAATGCTTACATAAATAAAATAGAAAAAGAGGAGATTAATGAATTGGGCATACAACTAAAAAAAACTAGATAAAGAACAAATTAAAAATCCTCAACTAAACACCAAATTAGAAATATTGAAAACCAAAGAAAAAATTAATAAAATTGAAACTCTCAATGTAAAAAGTATCCTCCTTCATTCTCCTTTAATTTTTCTAATGGTCTGACCTTTTATATGCAGGTCAAGTATCTGTTTGGACCTTATTATAATAGATGGTGTAAACTCTGGGTCCAAATCTAATTCCTGACAAATTGCTTTCAAATTTTCCCAGCAGTTCTTGTAAAACAGGGAGTCCTTCATTTAGTAATTTATGTCCTTGGTTTTATCCAGTACTTGAATATTATTTTCAATTATCAGTTTCTTACTTAACTAGTTCATTCTGCTGACCTGTTGTTCAGTTTTTTTAGAGTATAAAGTTATTCTTATGATTATTCATTTATCATATAGTTTGGAGTCTAAATGCCTTACTCCTTTCATTTATATTTTTCCTAATTATTACTCTTGAGATCCCAGACTTGTTACCCTTTCAAATGAATTTGTTATTATTTTTTCTATTTCCAGAAAGTATCAACTTCATTATTTCATGGGTTTAGCATTAAATCTATAAATTTATGTAGCATTGTAAATTTTATTATTTTGGCTTACACTGATCACAAGTTGCTTTAAAAAAAAGATTTATAATTACTTATATTTTCTTTTATTTTTGTAAAAAATCTCTTGTATTTGCATTTATGTAACAGACTCTGGACCCTCTCTCCTCTCTCTCTCTCTCTCTCTCCCAACTGCCATTAACACTATACATCCAGATTTCATAGCATATGTGGCTACAGTTACCCTCAGGGTGTATTAAACACAATAACTGGTGTGTCATTCCATTAATTATTAGCTGATATGAATTAGCCAGTCAGATTTAGTTTTTAAAAACAAGTATTCAGGGGGCAGCTAGATGGTATAGTGAATAGAGCTCTGGCCTTGGAGTCAAGAGGACCTGAGCTCAAATCCAGCCTCAGACACTTAACACTTACTAGCTGTGTGACCCTGGGCAAGTCACTTAACCCCAATTGCCTCACCAAAAAGCAAAAATTTTTTTAAAATAAAATAAAAACAAATATTCACTAAAGAAGTATAGCAAGAACTTGAGTGTGCACTCCCACAAATACATACAGAGTCTAGAGGAAAGTTGGTACAAGCTTAGAAAGCACATACAGCAAAGGGATAACTCCCAAATCCTGGTTACTGGAAGCCCATTTTTCTCCTTCATGGGGTGCTCATGAAGTTCCCCTTAGGTATAATGTAGCTTTCCAATGAGTTCCTTGTAGAGTTCTGAAGCTGCATTTCCTCACTGTTTCTACTATTTTCTCAGCTCCCAAAGCAGACACTGCCCTTAAGTGTTCTGGGGACATTCTTAGGATACTAGTGAAAAGTCTAAATCCTTCAACTTTTTGAAGTTCATAGGGCATACTTTGGTCAAGCACGAGGTTGGAGTGGAGACAGAAACTTTCCCCATCTCCCATAGTGATTTCCTCTGAGGGTCTTGACTACAATGGTTTCTACCATTGAGCATGCTAGGCACTGGAGCGTCTAGGTTTCAGACCACTTTGCTATTTTAATCCATGACCCACAGTATGTGAATGAGTCTCATTAGCCAATACAAATCCACTTCCTGAATAATGTCATTCTATTTCATCCAATATCACCATGTTAGGTATTGAAGAAAAGATAAAATATTAAATGCAAGACATGTCACAGAAGAAAAATGAACAATAGTGACTGTAACAGCAAAAAAAAAAAAGATAGGAGAGTTAAGTGTGATAATAGAGGGGGGGAAAGTAAAATATTTCTGTGAACATATGTATTCCTAGGAGATGGCAGATGCTAATGTTTCCAATAATGGGGACAATTTTCTGTCATATCCTTTTGACAAGTCTTTTTATTATTCCAAGTAAATAAATAGATTTGAATGTTTGTCTGAAAAACCATCCTAAAATAAGTGGGACCAGAAACTAATCATCTTTAATTGATTTCTATGTAAGCTGTTTTCAATAAACACAAGAGCATCCTCACAAATACAAAAATGGTTTGCCTTCAGATGTGCAGTCATTGGCTCCTTGAGTCATGAAAAATCAGAGACTTTCAGATGTGGGATGATTCAAGGAAGATATGTGAGTATTTTCAACCCAGGAAGAGAAAAAATGATATCTCTTTGTGAAGTACGAGTATTTGGAAAAGCATCAAATTCTCCTCCACCTGGTCACCTGTCGTTCAGTCCTAAATCTCGTCCTTCATCATCCCAGGCTGGTAATGTCATGGGTTCAGCTGGTGAGTATATTTTCTTTATAAGGAGAATTTAAGTAACATTATCTATAATTCTTTCTGTAAAACATTCATGATTGAAAATACAATTCATATAAATCCAGGGTTCTTAACTTGGGGTCTATGAACTTGTTTTTATATTTTG